CTTTCTGGACAAGGCCCTGATTGCTGTTTGGCTTTTTCAAGAACAATTTGACCACAGCCGTAAGAATCTGCAATTGTGTCTGTAGATTGTTGTTAGCTTGATCCTGACCTTGCTCTACGCGAGCGCCCTTACCTGTGTGAATTCTTCCATAAACTCATCAACAAAACCTCCTAGTATCTCGTCGGCGTTGTTGATCTTCTCAGCGTACTCGCCAACAATCCATATCAAAGCCCCCCTTGCGTCATGCTCTTCAAGCTCGTCGATATGCTCACAGAGGGTAGGAATGACACCCTCATAGCCGGGATACTTTCGTAAGATATCCTTAATCACAATCACGACCTCCTGCACAACGTAGTTGACCTTGGTCGCAATCAAGTCTAACAGGGTGTTGACACACTTCTCGCTCGCACTCTCGATCTTGATTGCCACCTGGCCAATGGCTTTGATAGATCGGCGCACGAAATCCATGTCGACCTCTACTGCATACTCCTTCAATTCTGCAAGCAGTTGTTCGTAGTTCTTGTCGTTTGCTATCCGAACCATAATTTCAAGCTTTTGTAATTTGAGATACGGCGGGTCGTTGTATTTGCAGAAGAATACCCTCATTTCTTTGCTGAGGATATCCGGCTTGGCTTGCAACAAAAGGTCGATGTTCCTTAAGGCGACATACTGAACTTCGGGGGCGGATGCAACAAGAGTCACTGTAAAGACGGTCAGCATTTCTGCACCAAGTCCATTCATGAGAGTGACCAAAATACACACCCAATGGCGGAGCCATTTTCTTGAGATATGTGCGAACCATTTCCGGGCTGATAGCTCTCATGTGGATGAAAACCACCTTCACCGCAGCTAGAACCACACTAGGATTATTGTGTTGGAACTGCGGCGCAATTCTCTCACATATATGCTCTGCCTCCTTTTGATCCGCGGACGGGTAGTCTGCCAGCGTAGACAGGATAGTTACGCGCCCCCACTCGGTACACTCGTTAAGGGCCATGAGAAGCTTCTTCAAGGTCACGGATGTGATGACGAGTGCTCTTGTCTCGGGGGCAGTCTCAGTAATCTCGGACAGGGCCTGAACAGAGTTGGCGACAACCGCCGGATTCGGATCACCAATCAGTTCCTGCAAGGACTCAAGGAAGCCGTTCTCGATACACATTGTAGGGTTAAGGTCGAAGAGCTTGGCCACGCAAATAGCGGCTGTCTTGCGCACGTAAGGGGACTCGTCGCGGAGGGTTTTGCGTAGGGGCTCCTCCATGTAGTCGATCATTTTGTCGACACGGATGCAGCCCATCGTCCGTATTGAGAGTGCTCGAATGAGGGGGTTCGGGTCTTCAGAATCTTGAACAAAGGTATTGACAGCAAGAATGCAGAGGTCGGGGTGGGTTTTGGCGTAGTTCCTGTTCGGAGACTATGGTCAGCTGTCTGTGAGGCCAGGGAGGCAGAGGCCAGCTTTAAGCATGGCACAAGTGAGCTCACATCAGATATAGATAAACAAGCTTCTTCTGATCCAAGTCGGCGGTAGCGATGTTCTTGAGAACGTCAGGGAACAGCGCCGACACGTCCTTGCCCAACGTCATGGCCATGATGGTTTTCTGGATGGCTTCCTTCCGCTCGTAGGCATACTGCGAAACGAGTCCGGCCCGCAACTCGAAGGTCTCGCCCTTACGAGGGGGAGCGAACGCGCTCTTTATGCGATTTGCCGCCATCGTAAGATAGACGCTTCCTGAAGTAGCCGCACGTGGACGAGATCAGGCTCGCAAAGACTCCGAGGCCGTGAAGCCGTCGGGCGGAACTGTGAATGTGGACAAAGGTTCGCTTCAATTGAAAGGTCGCAGCATCTGTATGACTCCTGCCAGGAATTCTGTGTCAAGCTTTGGTGGTCGGCGGCCTTGGACCGTGGTTTTCAAGTACGGATGGTCTTGTTGGATTCCTGAGTAGTTGGCGACGTCGAGGGGCTATTCAACATCGCTGCAGGCCAAGCTGTTCAGAGCGCTCGGACCAGCTAACGTTTTCAGGGGTCTGTTCAGCTTCAACAACCCCAACCCTAGGCACATTTCAGGGCAGTGCTTCGTGCACCAGGAACCCGTTCTTTTATGCTGAACGTCTATCAAGGTAAATATACTATGTGGGTATCATGAGATCCAGATATTGTCCCCCATTCTCGTCGATTCAAAGGCCCGAGGAAAGGCCAGGAGTGCTGTCAACATCCATCCTCGTCCCCCCTGTATCGGCTTCTTCTTCCAGTTGCCTAGTGAGCATCATTTCCAGGTCTTGGTCTGATATCTGATAGGTTTCCTCGTCATGGATTGGGTTAGTGGCGTTGAGAAGTTGCAGTAATGCATGATCTTCCTGATCCACGCTGAGGTCTGCTTGAGGGCCGAAGTACGGATTCTGTGGACTCCGTTGAGACTGGTCATAGAGCCCGCTGTGTTTGGTGTGGTTTGGTTGGTCTAAATGCTGCTTCGTCATCAATTGCGGATCTATTGGCGGTTCATGATGATTGAATGAGGCGAAATTCGATGGTGTTGATTCTTGAGGATGATGGCTTTGGTTCGGTTGGGGATTTCGGTGCTGGATAGCTTCTGGGGTGTTGGCTGCAGACACAGATGGCACAGAAACTGGAGGTTGTGGAACTAATGTTTGATTTGGCGTAGACGGCTTCATCAACCCCATGTTGGACTTATCCTCACACTCTGCACAAACACGGATCACATCAGAGACTGTGTCCTTGATGCCTCGCCAATGATACCTCTCCGTGATCGTCGCCGTCGTCTTGTTGATCCCAGCATGTTGACCCATTGCATGGGTTTGCCTTGCAATCTCATACTGTCTCTCCGGGTCCGAGACCACCTCCTTGTCTTTAAGCATGAGGACGTCGTTCTCAAGCAGCTTATAGTGTGTTGCCGCGCTGCGAAGTCTGGATTTCTCGGCGCGGTCGGCCCCGTTAGGATATTTGCCGTGCTTAAGATAAAACTTGATCTTTTCGAACCGGTCTTCACTCACGAGTTCGTCGTTGTCTTCTTCGTTCAAAGTCAAGTCGCGCCCGTAGATGATGGCGTCGACAAGACGGTCTGGGTAAGACTTGAGATTGCCACATCCAGGAACGCGTCCGATGCGCTTGAAGCCGAGGGCATCCCTATGTGAACCGTCAGCTCAGTCGAACATATGGGCTATTGCATATGCTTGAGGGTTGTCATATAAAACTGTGAGTAAAAGGTCGACCCCAGAAGTGGTCGACTCGATGAGGGGCCCGAATAATAAGAGCACGCGAAACAATATATACCAGTGTTCGAGTATCCCGAGGAAATGCACTAGACTCACCAAATCCTGCAACTCGCCACGTTGGTCTCATAAACCAGGTTGAAAACGCTGTACTTGTATCCCAGCTTCGGCGCCCAATTCAGATAGGCCTCTCCCATCAACCTACCCACACCCCTATTGCGGACCGCATCCGTGACTAGGAAGCCCGCATTACACACATGGCTACTTCGGCCAGGATAATTGGGCTTGATGTAGAAGCTCCCCAGACAGTCCTTGGCCCAGTCCTTCCCCTCGACGACATCCTCGGGCTTCTCAATACTTCCTAGAAGCATGATCGCGCCAAAGTTCTGGAACCAGTACGAAGCGAACTTGTCATGAGGCATGGGGTCGATCATGGGATACGTGTCGCCCTTCTCAATCTCCTTGGCCAGGGTTTCTGACAGGTACAAGAGCAGTGATGGTGGGACCTGGTCTTTGGAAGCGAAGGGGACGATGGTTGCTACTGTCTGCCTGTCTCGTAAAACAACTTGCCGGGGCTTGATATTGGCGGGCAACGGCGAGTTGGGGCCTGGGTAGGGACCGTCGCCGACGACTCGATAAATAGTCGGCGAGGACGGGTCATCTATCATAGCTGGCATCTTGATCTGAATTTTCCACACAGCGCGGGTCCTCACGAATCTACCTAGCGATATGTTAGTTGAATCTGACCCCAAACTGCTAACGGAACCGTGGAATGCCGGGCTATAGCCTACAGGGGATGAGAAGTACCGTCTGTGTCGAGGCTGGTGAATCCGAGGGAAAGTACAAAAATTCCCGAAGAAGACAGGAGACTAGACACAGTCCACACCAAACTTTGTTGGCTGAAGAGTAAACTTTTGGCGGCTACGTGGACAAAATGAGTGAGCAGAGTCAGGAAGTGCTCCGGTGAGCAATGCGCCGGGCACTTAGGCCGTTCCTCGGAGCTGGGCAGACGCTGGGCAACCAGGTCAGGGTCGCCCCGCTGCCTTTACCCCGGATAGCAGCTCTAAACTAACGTGGTGAGCAAGGCGAAGACTGAAACTGCTTTGATAACGATTACTTCTCACCCTTGTAGAATCGCGAGAATCCATGCAAGAAATGAAGTCGCAAGGGGATATTGGACAATGTGAATGGGGAGAACGACAAATACTCACAGGTGGTTCACATAAGACAATAGACCCCCAGAGTTGATCGATCGCTGGCATATAATTTCAGACAAAGTTGATCTACATGAGACCATCCGAGAAAACGATATGATCGCTTGAAATACCAAATATCTGGTAGCCTTTCACTCGAACAAACTTCTTCCTGTGCTGGTACAACCCAGCTTCCACGGCTGTCGGTCGTCGTTCTATGTCAACAATTTACTACAAGAACACCCTTTGTCAATGATAGACTCCGTATAGGCTCCTCTGGTCAACGCCCACAGTTGCACGTCCCGACTTACGTTGCGGAGGGTTGAAGACTTTATCCTGCTTGGTGTTCTCGCCCTGTCGATTGAGATTGAAACGCGCGAAAAGCAGAATGTTACCCGAGTTCATTGATTATTGACTTGTTCTCGATAATCAGGACCCATTATTATACACTTACTATGGACTGGCTTGCTACTCACATACTTTATGCGGTGAAGAACGGTGTATTTGGTCTCTAGTGCTCGCCGCCCTTCTTTTGGGATCTATAGAAGTACAAAATTATTGCGTCATAACATTCAGAAATTCGGTTGCATAGTGTAATGGTTATCACATCGGATTCTGATCTTCTGAACAACTTCCGGTAATCTGAGTTCGATTCTCAGTGCGACCTTTTTGATGTTTTTTGGGAAATTTTTTGGCTTTTTTCTTCACTATTTGATCTGGCATGGTAATTCGTTGGATTTGCGGTTCTTTTGTGCAGCGGCAGAAGGAACATTCTCGCTAGATTCGCTTGAATCGACGAGGTATAGCAACCACTGAGAAGGTAGGTAAGTACTTAAGCATATAATATTGTACGCTCCGAAATATGCCTTCAAGACTGCTTCAAATAGCCAAGTCAGTTCTTGCAATACTGTGAGGTTTTGAACAGAGCACGAGCATATTCTTAAAGGACAACATTTGCTAGAAGGGCTTGTCTTCTTACCGACCTCTTGTTAGGAGGGCGCGCGAGAAGCCTGCTTACGTAACGCGACAGGTACTTTGGTACTTGCAAGGTCGGTGGGAGCGGTATCGACATTTTTTCGAGCTCCTTGGATCAACCCCACGCGTCCAACCACGCCCAGGAGTAGGAGACCTGCACCAACCCGCGCCGACCACGACCACGACCACCGATCAACCCTCGGCCTTCTCGATCTTCTCTCCTCTACTCTCTAATCGGCACCACGAATTACTACTTCACCATGTCTTTCGGCGGCCAAACACCCACGATCATCGTGCTGAAGGAGGGTTCGTTGCCCCTCCATTGCCCTCCACAGAAGCTAGCTGTTTACATGCACATGCACCCTTTTGAAGAAAATCCAGCTGATCAGCTCCCACCACAGGAACCGACACCTCCCAAGGCAAGCCCCAGATCATCTCCAACATCAACGCCTGCCTCGCTGTCCAGACTACGATAAAATCGACCCTTGGGCCTTATGGCGGCGACCTGTTGATGGTCGACGAGAACGGCCGACAGACCATTACCAACGATGGCGCCACCGTCATGAAGCTTCTGGACATTATCCACCCCGCCGCACGCATTCTCACCGATATTGCAAGATCACAAGACGCAGAAGTGGGCGACGGTACCACCTCAGTCGTTGTGTTGGCAGGCGAGATTCTGAAGGAGATCAAGGAGCATGTCGAGCAGGGCGTTAGTTCACAGATCATTATCAAGGGCCTGCGGAAAGCCTCAACAATGGCCGTCAACAAGATCAAGGAGATTGCGATTAGCACCGACGAGGCGAACCACAGGGACACGCTGGCCAAGCTGGCTGCGACCGCCATGACGAGCAAGCTGATCAAGCGGAATACGGAATTCTTCACAAAGAGTATGGAACACATTTTTCTTGGACGGTATGGATCTACGATACATCTGCTAACAATTCACAGTGGTTGTCGACGCCGTACTGTCACTCGACCAAGACGATCTCAACGAGAAGTTAATAGGTGTCAAGAAGATCCCCGGAGGCTCCCTCACCGAGTCACTGTTCGTCAATGGCGTCGCCTTCAAGAAGACCTTCTCCTACGCTGGTTTCGAGCAGCAACCCAAGACCTTTGTCAAGCCCAAGATTGTCTGCCTCAATGTCGAGCTGGAACTCAAGGCCGAGAAGGACAATGCAGAGATTCGTGTAGAGCAAGTATCAGAGTACCAGGCCATTGTCGACGCAGAGTGGCAGATCATCTTCAAGAAGCTCGAGGCCATTCACCAGACCGGCGCCAAGGTCGTCCTCTCCAAGCTCCCCATCGGCGATCTCGCCACCCAATACTTTGCCGACCGCGACATCTTTTGCGCCGGTCGCGTAGCCTCCGAGGACATGGAGCGTGTCGTACAAGCCACCGGCGCCACTGTGCAGTCTACCTGCTCCGACATCCGCGCGGAGCACCTCGGCACATGTGGATCCTTTGACGAGCGCCAAATCGGCGGCGAACGCTTCAACTTCTTCGAGGACTGCCCCGAAGCCAAGACATGCACGCTCGTGCTGCGCGGCGGCGCCGAGCAGTTCATCGCTGAGGTCGAACGCTCCCTGCACGACGCCATCATGATCGTCAAGCGCGCCATCCGAAACCGCACCATCGTCGGTGGCGGCGGCGCGTGCGAGATGGAGGTCAGCGCGCATCTGCACCGCTTCGCCGACAACAACATCCGCAACAAGCAGCAGGGCATCATCAAGTCGTTTGCCAAGGCACTCGAGATTATCCCGCGTCAGCTGTGCGACAACGCCGGCTTCGACGCCACCGACATCCTCAACAAGCTGCGCGTCGAGCATCGCAAGGGCAATACATGGGCGGGGGTGGACTTTGTCAACGAGGGCGTGGCAGACATGATGGAGCGGTTCGTGTGGGAGCCTGCGCTGGTCAAGATCAATGCGCTCCAGGCCGCGACTGAGGCGAGTTGCTTGATCCTCGGTGTTGACGAGACAATTCGCAACGAGGAGAGCGCCAAGCCGCAGGCGCCTGGGCAGCCGTTGCCTAGGGGCGCCGCACAGAGGGCATTGCGCGGACGGGGCAGAGGTATGCCGAGGCGGTAAGAGAAAAGATTTACAACGCTGAGGTTGTTGCGATGGGGAGAGGGGCGGCCAAACCTATTAGAGTTGAGTGTGTGTATGTGGGTGGGTGGGTGGTTGGTGGACTCGGCGTCCGCATTTCTCTGTACATGACATGCTATGATACCTAGATCGGCGTCTGTAGAGGCTAAATGGAGATATTGTGAAGACTGTATAGTAGGAGCGTCAACGGACGGTTTTCATGGCTCTTGTGCGTGATTGAATTCCCAGGTTTCGTCCCCACTAAGTCTTCGCCATGATGGCTGAGACAGGCTTGTCTGTGGGGATAGAGAACAGGTTCGAACTTAAGGAGCCTCGAGCAAAAAAGGTGTCGCGTATGTTGGGCATGTTTCAGTTACCATGTGTCTAGGCCGACCACCCAGAGGAATCTATAAGCACGGTTCTTGGTCTTTCACATTCACACAGAAATATGCAGAGCGTTTTGTAGATTGTAAACGATTATGATCTTTCACTCTTCTACCTATTCAATCTCCCATGTACTTTCGCACCGACCACACACAGCCCAAACAGATCGAGTCCGCACGCACGCACGCCACTCAGTAAAAAAACAGAAGCCGCCCTTGGGAGGGAGCTTAGAAACGCTCAAAATTGGATACCGAATGAACGCCTTCCAACCGACCGCGAATACCTTTTATATTCCAAATCCGCGGACTGCAAAAGACGAAGTAATGAGAGGTATCTCCAACGACCAGAGCTTGGGAGACCAAGAATAAGCAAAAGTGAATAAGAGAACCTGATATCGGATTGAGGGAACTCCAAGATTCCAGAAGGCCGCCCCCAACCAGTCCACACCCATACCCCCATCTTACATATACGCCCAGTTGTTGTTGCTTTGGAGACGAGCCCACAATTTCAAGGATTAAAACACTGTATTGCACACGACCGTGTGGCCGCATTCGAAAGTAAGTTACGAATCACTCACACTTCACCACCATCATCGGTGAAGATCAAAAGATCTTCGAGCCACTCATCACCAACCGGGTCGAGCAGGTCATCGTGAGGTGGCATTGGTGATGAGGAAAGTTCTTCTTCGAGCGGGCTCGGCGCAAGGCCTCCTGCGTTCGACGCATCGTCAGGCCGGTTGGGTGATGGCGATGGGTCAGTCGCAAAGTCCGGCATGCCGTGAATATCTCCCATGCCCGTCATGTCCTCATCAAAGCCCGCGAAGTCGTTCTTCTGGTATTCGGTCCTGTCAATCCCCATCGGAGCAAAATTCGCGCTGTTGAGGGCGTTGCGTGAGTCTTGCTGGGGTCGAGGGGCATCGTTGATATTGGTAGAAGTGGTATTGTTTCCGACTTCCCCATCAGTAGGAACATCCTTCTTCTTGGGCGGCCGACCCCTCTTGGCAGGCTCTTTTCTTTTGGTCCCTGGTGGCGCCCCGATACAATTGCCCCGACCTTGATGTCGATGCAGTGCATCTGCACGGCTAAAGTCCCTGCCACAAGGGCAAACCCACTTTTTGTGGACGTCATGAGTCCTCAAGTGTCGCCGCAAATCGTGAGATCGGACAAACAACTTGGCGCAAAAGTCGTAAGGGCATTTGTACTGGCGGTCATCCAGATGAGTCTGGATATGCGCTTTGCAGTTCTCTTTGCGCTCAAAGAATTGCCCGCAAATCTTCTCCTCGCCCGAGTCCTTGTTCGGCTCTAGCCACTTGCAGATGAATTTTTTGTTGCTATCGGGAACAGACGCAGATTCGGAATCCCCAGCAGGTGTGGTCGAGTCCGATTCACCGATAAGTTCGGCGATCTGTTCGGGTTTAATGTTCGACTCCACCCGGTACTGTTCCATGTCTCCATCCGCCAAACTCATCACACTGTTGACGCTCACCAAAGACTGTGTCCGCTGGTGAGCGCGCATCCGCCGGCTCGGAGAGCCCTGTCGACTGCTGCGAGTAGGCGACTGCGAGCCCCGAGGAGTCAGCTGTGGACGGAGATCTGGGGCGCCTCGAAGTGGATTTCCCATGTGGCCACTACTGGGGTGGGAGAAACTGTTTCGCGAGGGTGAGGCCTCCGGTGTTCGTATATGAGATTCCATGAACCCGTCGCGCGAAGGTGATGGTTGACGGGCATGTAGGAGTGACTCTCTGAGCGGATTGATGTGGTGCGTCGGAGATGGTTCACCGTTGGAAATGATCGAGTCCCGGAAGGGATGGCGGCCGGGGGATGGCTGAGGCGTGTGAATGAATGAATCCATATGACCTGTGTTCGGTTCTTGCATTGGCAAGCCGTGCGCTAGCGGTGACGCTGTCCTCGGTGGAATGAACGACTCAGGGGGCGATGTGAAAGGGTTATGATTGTTGAATGGGAATCCGGATGCTTGGCCCGGCGAGGGCATCGGAGACTCGAACAGAGGATCACCGGGAAGAGGGCCTCCGAAGTTGGACAAGTCGAAGTTTGCGATTTCCTCGTTGAGGTTGTCAAGGGCGGTGCCGGGTGAGGATATGACGGGCGAGTAGTAACCTTTGACAATGTCAGCAGATGGTCGGTAGTATCAATTCGCATCGCAGCTGTTGTTCGGGACATACCCATATTCTCATGGAAGCTGCCGTTCGGTTGACTAAAGA